AAAGTTCGTTTTGGATGATTTTTTTTTCGTTTTGCCTATGGTTCCGTTAAAATGCTGTGGAGTGTTTGAATCAGGGTAAAATGCGAATGGTACGTGCGTGGCTGTGGGGAGCCCCATTCTTCAGCCCAGCTAGGCAAAAAGTTAAGGGCCGTATACTTGTTTGGAGCTTGCTTTGCTTCTGCCTTTGCTCTGGTGGGAAGAGTATTAGCAAGGTGTTGAATATGTGATCTTTGTAAAGAGCTGAAAGAGGCAGCATGTGTTCCACAACATCAAGTAGGAATGCTTGTCCTCTAGTGGCAACGGATAATGCTTTAGTCTTGCATGTTTTGCCCTTAAAAAAAAAAATATATATATATATTACTGTATTGTCCTGCACTTAAGAGTCTCGAGCATGAGCTGGGGTTTCACTGTGCAAACGTAGCGTTGGCCAACATAAAATAGTGGCAGCGTTTCACGAGTGAGATAAGAAGCCGTGTTAGAGGTCTCAGAAGAATGCCATGGACTTTGGAGGGTGGGATAAGGCATAGGAAGAAGAGAGTGAATGTCTTCTGTTTTGAATCTCTTTTTTTCTTTTCCTGTTTTTGGAATTAACTTTTGCTTATTCCAAACCACACCCAAATAATACTTCAGAGCTGAGGTTAGAGCATAGGGTAATGTTTAGAGAAAATAAATCATTCAGTGGGTGTGGGCTGGCGAAAGACAAGGCAAGTGCTTCTAGAATCAGTCAGAATATTTTATTACAGCCAAAGTCACCCAATGGCTTCAAGTTATGTGACGTTTCACTTAGTTACAGTGTTAAGATGACAAAGCTGTCCTGATTTTTGACCCAAGGTTTATAGCACTTGGGATGCTGTCTGCCAGCCAGAATGTCTAATAGCTACAAAGTGTTTGTACTGTTTGTTTTAAGACAGGTGGTAGTCACGCTTTTTTTTTTTATCTTTATGTCTATATCTATAAATATGTTTATTTTTTAAAAAAATGTAGACCACACAATTGGTATTTGAAGAAGTACTTTAACTATAATACAAAAAAGGGTGTTGTACTGTGATTTTGAAAGTTCACTCAAAATTATGGTTGTGACTTCAAGTTAGTTAAATGATTCATGGCCATTTTTATAGAGTTATTTGCCTTAATAGTAGTGTGTCAAATTGCATTTGATTATTTTGTTACCTCTACCGAGAATAATGTTTATTTCCTGTATTACTATAAGCAATGACTGAAGATAGTAGGAACTAATGTTTTGAATGAGGCTTATTTTGTTAAATCCCCTGAAATGAAAGATATAGGTTTTCATGTCAGCTTAAGCGTGGGGAACTACTTGGATCTCTTTCCATGAAAGAGATGCTGGACTTCATTTGAAACCTGGAATTAAACTCAATGAAATTGCTGTTCTTTCTCTTAAAAATTAAAAGACTTAGGTATCTGCATCTGATAAAGTTGAATGGTTTCAGATTACCGTCTGTTATTGGGCATCTGTGCAAGTTTCTTATTGTATCTGCCCATCAGCTGTGCAGCAGTCTAAGGCATTGCTTTTACAAAATAAATGTTATTTCTTTTTCTATGAGCTGGTCAGAGTTTTCAAAATGGAGCACTATCTTTCTAACAGATCTGGAGTCCCCACACCGACCTGCCTTGTTGAGATGATTTCCTCCCATGGTGGAGCATGTAGTGTATCTGTCCTCAGAGCTGAAGGTGTTGAGATAACCTTGACCAATTCCTTCTAGACTTATATGTAGAAAGTAACCAAACGAAGCATATTCCCTTTAAACTTACCCTTCTAAGCACAGATTTGAGATGAAAGCGCCTTTTTTTTTTTTTCCACTAGTAGGGAAGGTTGGATTATAGAGAGAGTATATGGGAAGGGAAGGAAGAAAAACATGCTCACATGTTATGCTTCCAGGAGCATAGCATTTAGCATCCGAATATTGCTCTTTCAAGTTTCTAAACAAGAAATACAAACATCCTTAATACTGATGTTGGTCCTAAAGTTACTTAGTGTGTTATGGCTCTATGTAAGTGGTCTTAACTTCTCAGTAAACTTTTCAGGAATACCAAGAGAAACACCCTTAATGGAGGTCATTTATACATGCTAGGTACATGTGTGTAGAGAATAAGCAGAGTATTTTTGGTTTCCTGATTTGCTAGAAGGTTAATAAGCATAGCAATGTGTATGTAACTGTTGTTTGGAAAGTATGGCAAGCATATAAAGTTTACTTATCTGAGTTGAAATTGAGTAATGTGATAACTTTGAAATGGTGAAGCAAAAGAAACTAAAGCAATGTTAAATTAAAACAATGTCAGTTCTTCTGTGTCAGAAGCTGGACCAAATAATGGGAGGAGAAGACAGGCTTCTATAATAATAATAATAACAATAATAATAATGTTCTCCTCCAACTTCGAAGTTAATTTTCAAAAGCAGTAACAAATGTGTTAACAGAGCTAGCGAAAAATAATATATTTTGAGTCTGAGGTTCACTAAGCGGAATGCCAAAATGCATCTTCTCCTACTTAAACTGTACAGAGGAAAGTGTGCTTCAAATAAAAACTATGAGGTCCCAAAGAAAGTTAGGGACAGCATTTTCAATAGCATCATATTGTTAAGGATTAGCTGGTTAGTGGGAGTTAGTTTGATAGCTTCTGTCATCATTTACCTATATTTAGAAATTGCTGATGGATTTCTATGTATTTAACTAAAACTACAGACTGGTATAACTTTTTTTTTTCTCTTCCCTATTCCCAGAGTTGGTTCCTTCAATTATGAGTAACATGCTGAATCCGGATGCTATTTTTTCAAACAATGAAATGAGCCTGTCAGACATTGAAATTTATGGTTTTGATTATGACTACACGTTGGTCTTTTATTCTAAACATCTACACACGCTGATCTTCAACGCTGCTCGAGATCTCCTTATTAATGAGCATCGGGTAAGTAAAATCAATGGAATAACAATACATTTTTGAATAAAGAGTATAATAAATGATTTCTGACAGGGGCATAACTCATCTTTTCATGCCTCAGTCCTATCTTGTCTCCCTTATAACACATTTTGTACAACAGCTACCTATGAACCACAGAAGTCCTGGTTTATTCTCAGCTGCAGTTTTGAGCAGAGTGCAATCTGACAACTGTTAAGGAATAGAGTTTTATTTGTTTTATTTTTGGTGGTGTGGTTTTTTGTTTTTTCCTGACTGTCAGTTATTGAGGTCACCCTAATAAATAAGCTTAAAAGTTACCATTGCTGTTTTATGCACTGCTGTGAGTGCAGTGATGAATTTCCATATGAAGGATTTTTAGCCGGACTTAGGAGGTCTTTGCTTGCACTGTGTGCTTGCGAGGTGCTGTATGCACGCCCGGCATTTCAGCCGAGTTAGCTGAAGGGGCAGTGTGTGCAGTGACACTGTAATCGGAGGCTGGATACAAGAGAGACCCAAGTAAGTGTTCAGGTCAGTAGTCCCCTAAGAGGGAGCACTGTCCTGTTGCCTCACCAAGCAGCGTGTTTGCATCAGTGACCAGTTGACGTCCAAGCAGCTTGGAGCTGGTTGGTGTAAAATTTGGGGATGGGAGAAGTTAAGGGTGTGTCAGGAAGCAGCGGGGGAGATGGGTGACTTGGGAAACTGAAGGTATCGCAGGGAAAAAGACTGAAGGAAATGTGGCCTGAAAGAGGAAAAGTTTACTGAACTGTAGGACTTGCAGGAAAATAAAAGACAAAAAGTCCGTAGAGTAACTTAATTATTAGAACTGCTTGTGTATTTTATACAACCTAAATCTGAATGGGTGGTGTTATTCTACTTTCGTATTTGAATCTAAAGGTTAGGAGCTATATATAAACATCTATAAATATCCCTGGAAGAACAAACAAAACTTCATGAGCACTATAAGCATACACAACTTGATCCCCCTGAGATTTTGGCGTGTCTTGGTAGCAATTTCTGTAGGATGTGTAAATGCGCTTTATTAAAGATACGTGGTTCTTGCAAAAACAGTGTTACTGTCAGAGTCAAGATTAATTCTTGTAGACAAAAATTCATACAGTGCTCTGTCTTTACTATTTGAATTAATTCAGGTAGTAGTAACTTTCCAATTTGTCTCAATTAAAATCTCTTGAGTTCTAGTAAATGAAGCTGTAATTGCTTTCTGAGACAGCTTATTGAAATATACCATGTCCTGTTGGAATTTAATGGGGGACGAGAGTTCTTATTAATGCTGTCTCTGTAGTTGCCTATACTGTTAATGTTTTTCTTGCCTTTAACATTAGAAAAAACATCTAGATCGTATTGCCCACTGTGGCTGTCACAGTCAACCTAAAAGATGGCCAATTTTGGTCATGGTAGCATGAGGTAATTCATCAGAAATTGTAAAATGCAGTGTAGGAAGCAAGGAATTTTGAAGTGTGTCCAAGAGAATAAACATAAATTTAATGCTAATCTTGGAGGTGGCAGCAGGTGTTGAATGTAAACTCTGCTGTTGAGCTTATTTCTTTCCTAATGTGTGGGCCTTGTGCCACCTTATCTGGATTGCTGTTTCAGTCCAGATATATATATCCCTACCAAGAGTGGGGTAAGGAAACAGTGCAATTTTTTTGTTTGTTTGTTTGGCTTGTAAGGAAGCTTTGATCTGTATGCCAAGGTGGGCTCAATCTTCTCATATATACTGGCATACATACAAAAAGACAGCTTTCTAGCAGAATAAATTAAAGTAGGAAAGTCAAGTATGCAGAAATTCGAAAAAGTCAGAAACAAATTTCCCTGTTAATGCTTGATGTGGCTGCTTTGGGGCATGTGCAGTACATTGTCTTTTTTAATTGATCACATTCTATATCCTCCGCTGATGTTTTCCCTTGTCTCTTCTGCTTAATCTTCTCTGGCCAAATCTGCACATCTTCCCAACCTGTCTGTAGGCTTTTGATACTGTTCTTCACTCAGATTAGTAGCCTCCCCCGTGTTTTCTGGGAGTGGTAGTAGGGGTCATAGCTCAGAAGTCAGGAGAAAGGACAATTTTCTTTAGCTGTAGATGCCTGTGCTTAGTACAAGCACGAGCTACAGCAGTTGCAGAGCAAGTCTTCTTCAGCATAGATAAAAACTATGCTAAACTAAAATTGCAATTTATTTATTTTTTGTAAAAGTAGCTAGAGCTTCTGTTGAAGCTGGATATACTACTTTTTTCCCTGAAGGCTTGTAAATTAGCCACATATGTATGGAGACTGTTGTAGAGAAAGTGGAGAATGTGCCTGAGATGCATTTGTCAAGTTCCAAGACTGCTGTAGCCTGCAGGAGGGAAATGAAGAATTGCCTTTCAGTTGGTTAATCAAAGGAATTATAGTTTTCTCAGGCCTTGTCAGAAGTGATAGAAGCATTTTACCTTTTAAAAAAAAAAAGAACAAAGCCCTTAGCCCAAGGCACACACCTAACATATATGTTTTTTCATGGCTAACCTATGCTTAAAGCAGGACAAAATTACAATCCACTGAAAATGGGATTGTGCTGAAAAATATTAGAAAACTCTCTAAATAGGTGGTATAAGCTACCTATGCTATCTATAAAGAACCTGAGGGAAGAGTACATGATATAGGCATCCAATTCATGTGCATGCCTAAACAAGGCGTTACAAATGCTGTCCCAGGTAAATACAGTTGGATCACTGTGGTGTTCTGAAGTGACTCACCCTGATTGCGTTTAATGCCCGACTTGCTTTCAGGATCTGATCTTTGTGACATACTGTAACTTGGGGAAAGTCCCTGTTGGGGGATTCTTCCTCCTTCCCCATCTGTGCTTATTTTCAGTATATCGTATCTTTAAACACCTCTGGGGTCTATATTTCAAACTTGACATTCTAAGATCAGGAGTATGATCCGCACTGAGGGAGTCAAAACAGATATCTGTGCTTCTTTTATTTCTTGAAAAGGCTGAAGATTTGTGGGGTTTTTTTTTGCTCCTGTTAATATTGATGTTGTATCGCTTTTTTTTCAGTAGAAGTGAGCAGTAAAGTTGAGGTATCTCTGTAAATAGGGCCATGTTCTTGGGTTTCTAGCTAGAATGTTGAGTTGGAAACTGTGTTTGTATAGTTTGCTGCATGGGGAGATTTCACAATGCAAGGTAACTCAGCTATTAAATTTTAGGAAGTTAATAAAATTTAGTTTGTTTTCAAAGGTGCGTGTATTAAAATAACTTTTTGAACAAGAGGCTAATGTTCAAAGGTGATCACTAAGGAGTACCTGGATGTCCAACTTCAGGTACCGTCCTTGACTTAGACTTAAAACATTGACCTTGAATTTTGGAAAAATGTTTGCCTTGTCTTGCACTGTAGGAATGTTCCTGCAAATCTCACCAACCTCAGAAAGCCTCTTAGTGACTAGTGAAGGCTCTTAAAATACTGCAGAAACATTTTTTTAATTTGTTTTTGTTATGGTTTTAAAAATCAAATCATTGCTCTCTTTTCTTAGTATCCTGCAGAAATAAGGAAATATGATTATGATCCAAATTTTGCAATCAGAGGACTTCATTATGATGTGCACCGGGTAAGTATAAATAACTCTGTGAAGAGTTATGTATTGCTGAGAACATAGCCAAAGAAAATAAATAGGGCTTTTAAGTCTTCCAACTTTTTACTCTGTGTTGATGTGTAAGGATTTTGTTTCATATATTTTCTCTTTCATAGCAAGCTTGATTTTTTTTTTTTTTTTTTAATAGCTCTTACAGTATAAAATCTTTTGAGTGTTTTGTTCTCATAGTGGGTGGGGTGTGTGTGTGTGAGGAAGAAAACTCGCGTAATAGAATAAACCTAAGCAGGCATCTGCTAGTAGGAAAAGTTATTTCTTCATTACTTAGCTCAGGTCACTCGGCAGTGTTTCCTTGGTGATTTGGCAAGCCCTAGGTAAAAGCCATTGATAAAAGTATTTTGGAAGCTATGAAGGAATTTGAAGTGAAGGTACTCAGGCATTCTTGAGACAGAAAGGTTATAGATAAAACTGCTTTAATTTTTATAATTTCATGTCAAGTAGTTGACATGATTAAATATTGATATTTTTTTCCCCCCCTGCAAGGCATTATTAATGAAGATTGATGCCTTTCATTATATTCAGCTGGGAACAGTTTACAGGTGGGTAAAATTATTTCCTATTTATAATAAAAAAGTATACTTTAATGTTTTGAATCTCTTAGTTGCATTTATTATCGTGCGTCTTAAGTTCGTATCAGGAACAGTGCCCTGAAAAGCACAGACATGAATGAGTATTGCGGTTTTACTGGAAGGGGGTTTCTCTGCACCTCCATGTGTACAGACAGACACGCGCACGCATTTACTGACTGATACAGTACAGCTGATTCCCCAGTTCAGAGCTGGGGAAGTTGGCAAGCTGGTTGGTCACATAGTGCTGACTCACTTTGTTTCCGGCTGTTAAATTGTGCTGAAAGACATCTAAAAATACGCTGATGACTTCTCTGCTGTTGCTTTCTATGTAAATAATTGTCACAGAGTGCCCGTTAGCATGACTTTGGTGTGGTTGTAGAGACACTTGAGAGGTCTTTGCTGTGTTTGCACAGAGCTTTTAAGTTTGGACACATCAGCCACATCATACTTGCAGAATGGAGCACAACTGCTTTGTGTCCGCACAGCCTGACACTTTGAGTATACTGAATTGATGTAAAACTGGCAGTCTCTGTGCTGTGCTTCGTTATGTGATACAGACATATTGTATGTGATCTTTGACAAGAGAGTTTTTAGTATGGCTTAGTTTGCTGTAATGAAGCAGTATGTATTTGACTGACATGAACACCACACGTGGTACCAGATTTTAAATTAAACAACAAGCCTAAGCACCTTCCTTAATGTCGAGATGAATGGGTGGTGAATCAAGCAGCAGTGTCGCCTTATGACTCAGGGTGGGACAGAATGAAGAGGCAGATCACAGTTACTGTCAGCTCCTAATACAAATGACACATCCAAAGCCAGAACACTGCTAGGCCATACATCTTGACACTTGTGAGTCTGTGTGAGGGTGAGAGTGAAAGCTACCATTTCACTCAATACCTTCTCTTAATTTTGTTTAAAATAAGATTACCTTTCTCTTCTGTACCAGCATGGAGCTTTGCTGTCAGTCACTGCATATCTGTAGTTCTTAGTTTTAACCTTCTGTGTGTTCTGTACATGTGTGGGTCAATTAAACAGCTGAAGGTAGCAGGACTTGTCCAAGTGTCCAGTCTCACTTGCACCCAGAGGTGTAGGCAATTCTGGTATCCCTCTAACGATGCACGTCTCGCAAGAGCAGCAGTGGGAGCACTGCTGTAGGTGAACTGCGATGCTTTTAGTGCCATCTGTCCGTGCTGTCAGTAGAATAAAATAAACGTCATAGTTATACAGCTGGACTGTGAACTGTGTTAAGACTATGAGTCTTCTGGTAAAGCTAGTCTACAGCTTTGCCTTCACAGTCATCTCTCCTTTCTGGGTTTCACGTATGTCTATTGTCCTCTCTTGGTTTGTGCTTAAGTAGTTCCTGATCCACTAACATTTTCTTTAGCAGTATGCAAATACCGCCTGGCATAGTGGTCTGCAGACTAAAAGATGGACGAGTCAGTCCTCAATTCCGATCATATTACTTGGTACATATTTAACATTTTGGTTGCATTTTGTCATGTTTACCGCTGTGGAGCGGGTGAAGCTGAACTCTGTATCTTACAAAACCAAAGTATCATCTGCCCTGTTTGTGCACAATACTAACTTGAGTGCTGGAGTCCTACTAGCAGTAGCACAGTAGTGCAAGTCGATGTAGCATTGAGAAGTGCAGTAAAGGAGCTAGTTAACGTGGGACTCTGCTACCATAGAGCACTGAGGAAGTTCATGTATCATACCCTTCCACTGCAAAGCTGGTGTGGATGCTAAACACTGAAAGTACTTATTAATTAGTCAATTTATTTTTTAATGCCTCACAACACTTCTGGGTAAGACCAAGAAAGGGAGGCACTGGAATAACTGCCTGTCTTACAAGGCTGCAAAACTGTAAGTAGGCTCGGAAAAAAGGGACCAGATGATCTGGTTTTTGCTTGTGTTCTTTAATCTTAATCAAAACCTCAGTACCTCTGTGTCCTCTGGTGAGGATGTTTGCATGCCTGCAGTGTCTTGGATGCATTAGTGCAAGATGCTTGATACTGTAAACATTCAAAACCAAACCAAAGCCTTTAATCTCTTAATAGTTGATGGAGACATCATCTCTCCAGAATTTCTTTTTTCCCCCCATTTGTTGTTATAATCTTATATTTTAATTACTTGTCAACAATCCTTCAAGTAATTTTATATTTTGGGCAACTGACTTGTTGATACAGTTTAAAAGAAGTTCTTATTCAGTTAAAGATCGTGTATGTTTTTCTTTCCCTTGATTCTTCAAGGTCATGCTGCAGAGTAATCTGGTTTAAACACACTATCACATCATCAGTGCTGTATGAAACAAAGGCAGAGTGAAGGATTACTTTGTGTTAAGAAACTGGAAGCTCTAACTACTTCTTACAAACCCTTGAGGCATAGTTTCAATGGAGACTAATTAGCTCTTTTCCCGTAAGAAAGTAAAAAGGACTTAAAATTGGAACGTGTTCTGTGTGCGTCAGCCTGTTAAAATGTTACTTGCTCTGTAAAGAAAGATGCTGTTTTAACTTACAGACCAAAGTGTTCCAACGACATTATTAGTATTTTAATAAGCTGCAGTTCTAAGTGTTAATCTGTCAGACTTTCATTCGGTAATTACTTGAAAATTTTAATCTGACTTTTGAACTAAAGCTAATGTTTTTTTCCAGAGGCCTCAGCGTTGTCCCAGATGAAGAAGTCATTGCAATGTATGATGGTTCTCATGTCCCTTTAGAACAAATGAGTGACTTTTATGGAAAGGTAAAACCACAAAGGGACTTTAAAAGTGATACTTTTTTTTTTTTGGAGGTGGGGTGGTGCTGTTTGCATTTTGTTCTTGTACTTCCTAGCAGTTACATATTCTTGATACATGATTCACTTCCAGTTCCAGATGTGACTTTTGCTCTCAAAAGTGACAAATATCTTTTCTTTCTCCCACTCACTGTAGTTTCTTCTTTCACTGTTCCCTTGCCCAGTCATACAGACAGAGAAGCAGAACATAAAAAAATCAAGTGACTTGCTCAGTGTTGCACAGCAAATCTGATAAAGGCTGGGAAGTGAACCATATCTGGTGCCTCACCCTGGCTATGTACTTCTTCCCAGTGGTCTAAAGGCTTAGCTGATGTAGCAGCAAGTAAATGTGAGGAGGCATCTCTTGCATACAAGCTGGCATAGTGACAGTAAGAGGATTTGATAAAAGATGAATGATAAAAGATGAAGCTTTTAAGTTTAAGATTTGACTTTGTGGGAAAAGTTGATCTTCTTGCTGGTAGGTTCCTTCCTCTTTCCCAAGTGAAGAAAGGTGCTGTCATTTTAGTAAAAACCAAGTTTATTTTACTCTTTTTACTTATGGATGTTAATTCCATGTTGATATGAAAGGCCCTTCTATTTGCTGTGAAACATTTTATTGTTCTCACACCTATTCTTATGTTAAGGAGCTGATCTTAGAATTCTCAAATCTGCTCTCTGCAGCAGTTCTGAATATTGGCCTGGCATTCCCTATGGGATGCCTTGGTCTCCACAGGTCTGTGCTTTCTTTGATCTTGGAAAGGACACTGACAGGAGGCTGTGGACACAAACTGAAACACAGGAGGTTCCCCCGGAACATCAGGAAACACCCTCTTTACTGTGAGAGTCACCAAGCACTAGCATGAGTTGGTTGCCCAGGGAGGTTGTGGAGTCTCCATCCTTGGAGATATTCAGAAGCCATCTGGACATGGTCCTGGGCAACCAGCTCAGATGATCAGGCTTGGACAAGATGACCTACAGAGGTCCCTTGCAACTGCAACCATTCTGTGTTTCTAATCTTGACCGGTGTTCTGTCTTGAGCAAAGATATCTGGTTGCTTTTACCCTCTTCTTCTTAAGAAGTACTTGTTTTGTATTTGTTCTGGTATAATGAGGTTCTCTACTTTTGTGAAACAACTATAGTTACAGCTTTTGCAGACTAGAAATCTTTTCCTCTGTTCCTACATTATTCATAGTAGATTCTTACAATTTTTTGTTATCTCTTTTCAAGGAGGTAAATTGTTTTGCAGTCCTAATCAGTATTCCACTTAAAAAAAAAAAAAACCAAACCAAAAAAACCCGCAAAACCTCCAAACAAACAAAACCTCTGCTCCCATCACAGTATTCGGTGCCTCTTATTTATAGAAGTGCAGCCTTCCAGTGAAGTCCTCCAAGTCCTTCTCTTGACTTTTAGCTGAGCACTGTCTTTTATGTGTTTATGAATTAAAATACTGCTCTTAAGAGTAATTATTCATGATTAATTCTTAAAATAAAGCCAACACTTTTCTTGAAATTATTTTATTGAAAGTCTGTTAGTTCAAAAACAGTCTAAAGCAATGCGAATAGTGATGGCAAAAGCTGAGTATCTGCAGCTAAGCTGAAGTGCTTATACGGAATGAATGAAAGTATTCTAATCTGAGAAATGCCTGACCTTTTTCTTTTCTTCCCACCCCTGTAGAGTTCACAAGGAAATACAATGAAGCAATTCATGGATATATTTTCCTTGCCAGAAATGACACTCCTTTCTTGTGTGAATGAATACTTTCTGAAAAACAACATAGACTATGAGCCTGTTCATCTGTACAAAGATGTCAAGGTACTAGCTTTGAAGATTTAGGTAAACCTCTACGTTTGTGCATCTTCTCTGTGAGCACTTCAGGAAGCTTCAACCTGTTGTTTCAGCTCCAGTGAAATACCTCAACTTTAAGTTTTGTATAGAGTAATTATTGGTATAACAACCATAAAAACATAAGTAAAATGAAGATAGACCTTGGAAAAGAAACAGAATAATTTGAAATTTATTTTAAAATTGATGTTCTAGGGCTGTTGCTCTTTTCTTAGGTTTGAGGGGTGGATGGGGGGAAAGTGAAGAAGTGCTTGTATGTTGATAAAGCTTCTTTTGATTGTTATTAAAGGTATACTTTTCTTACTAGCAGGGATTGTAAGAGGCTATAAAGAATTCCAGTTTGGAGCTTTCAGTTCTGCTGCTTCTATGTCTTCACTAGTATACAATCTTTTGCTGTCTCTTGCTTTTGGCATATCTATTTTGCTTGTTTTCCACTCTTCGTCCTCCAGAAAAATCTAGTAGTAATGACTAGAGTAACTTGACCCTCTTGATTCCTCAGGATGCATCCTGCGCAGGAGATAAAATTATGTCATGGTTATTTAAAAACAGAAGAGGTCATGCTCAAGTTGATGGCATTTGTCTGCACAAGCTTTCCATCCAAAACTTTTTCCTGGCCCCTTGTTGACATGTATTAAAGTTGTGTAGTTGTTCAGCATATGAGATACACCTGAATGTTGAATTTCTCAGTTTCCCAAGTAGGGGAGATAGGTTTTAAGAAACTTCTGCCTATGTTTACATAGAGTCAGAAGGCTAGTTCTTGTGGTTTCTGCTGAAGTGTTTGTAGAAACTTCTGTACTGCTCAGTATTACAAAGATTTTGGAAGCTGTATGATGGAATTTTTTGAGGATTTTTAGGACATACAGCCTGTAAGTACCAAAATGGCAGAACCGCTGTTCTAAGCAAAGTGGTCTGATGCAGAGCTGGCTCAGGAGAGCTGCTAAATGCCTTCAGAGCGCCTTATGGGTACTTTGCTTAAGCATTTAGCTTCTTCCATCTGTCCATAAATTTCCTTTTTATATAACCAGGGCATTTGGGAGTGATCATAATCTAAAATCTATCTGTCTTAAAGTGTGGGTTTTTTTTTTTTTTTTTTAAGAGGAAAGGAATGTGTTCTGCTCCAAAAGTCATCAGAAATCTGTGGTTACTCTGCTTCTGCAGAGGGCTTTCACCCCATGTCACCTTGCTGAGCGCCCTTTCACCGTTGTTATGTAAAACAGCCCCTGTGCTATCCAGTTGTGTACTTCGCAAAGTATGCAGTTACTTGCTTGGAGGACAGACCTACTCTTTGTCTAGTGGTGACATATACATAACGAACATCACGTGGCATCTCTGTAAAATTGAAAGCGTAATTCAGAGAAATGAATCGCTTTAAAAAGAAATTACTACTGTTATGCAGTGAGCATGGCTTTTATACTTAAAAATTTTTTTCAGTGCTTTAGTGCTGTGTTGCTTTCTTGACAGGATTCAATCAGGGATGTCCACATCAAAGGAATAATGTACAGAGCAATTGAAGCAGATATTGGTAAGTTCTAATGAGATCGTCTGTCAAAGCTTTTTTTTCACTGAGAGTGTAATGATCTTTCTGGCTTCCTTATTTAAGATTACAAATTGTAAATTTTAAAGCTTGAAAGAGTTATTTCGACTTGCTAAGGTGCCTTTGTGAAGCATAACCCCATATTCTGAACCCTTGGTTGAATACAGAGAAAATTCTCATGAAAAACTTTTTCAATTAATATTGTATTTTCGCCAATCCTCACAGAGAAATACATCTGCTATGCCGAACAAACTCGTGCAGTGTTAGCAAAGCTGGCTGATCATGGCAAGAAGATGTTTCTCATCACAAACAGTCCCAGCAGCTTCGTGTAAGTGAACAGTTGTTTGATGTTCAACTATACGTTTATAAAGAATGGGGAGGATGAGGTTCTCTAATTCATTGTATTGCACAGATAACTGCACCCCTGTTATGCTTCACTGTTAATATCCCTCTGTCCTTCTTAGGGACAAAGGCATGAAGTTCATAGTTGGCAAGGACTGGAGGGATCTCTTTGACGTGGTCATTGTACAGGCTGATAAGCCAAACTTTTTCAATGATAAGCGAAGGTGGGTATTTAGTCAGTAAAGAATGATTCGAGCAGCTCATTCCATATAAGGCTATAGAATGTGTTACGAAATATTTTCATTTGGATGCAATGTAAAATGAAATCATATTTGGTGAAATCCTGTTTAAGGTCATTACAGAATGCAGCAACACCCAATTCTGAAGTCCAAATATTTACCATTTCTTATCTAAGAAGGTTCCAGTAGCTATTACAGGTCTACTGGACTGAGTTAGGGTCACAGAAGCTGTTTTTAACATCTTAGCTTGTTAGTTGGTGAAGTGTGTTCCTTTCCTAATAAACCTGAGAAATTTTGGTGCCTTCCAGAATCGGCCCCTTATCTGGAAATGTCTTTCATTGCTTCTGGTTTTGTTTAGTGACACATGATATTTAGAGGGTGAACTGGCTGATAGGCTGGAGTATTTGGACTAGTTGTTCAATTAAGTAAACACATTTGTAATGTGTATGAACTACTCTTACACTTGAAAAAGACCTATTCCTTTATGTACACTTATGATTTGGAAGTGAGATAGAGGGAGGTGGGATTTTTTTTTTGCTTTTCTTTTTAAAATTAAATGAAAAAAAAGTACTTTGCTGTACGTCTTGCCCCCAGTCCTCTTTCCCCTTCTTCAGTTGTTCATTTGTACAAAATGAGGTATTGGGCAAGATTTCTACACATCTTCACTTCTTTTGTGTTCTCTTCTCTCCTTCTTAAGGGCAGACAGTTCTTACTGCTTCTTCCCCTCTGTCAGGGATCTGTGCCTTAGTTCTCAACACTTGTTCTCAAGCGCTGTTATAAATGTCATAGGTATAAGGGATAGATACATTGCATTTCCCTGGCTAATGCAGGTGTTTTGGAGCTGTGCTTTTTCTGTCTCTTACAAAATGTTCAGATGCTAAAAAGCATGTTTTCCTCTTGAAAAATGAATATTTTTAATACTAAAATTTTAATCTCCTCCTAAAAAGTGACAGAATTTCTACAGCAATTGTATATAATTCTGTTCTAGACCATTTCGGAAGGTGAATGAAAGAGGAGTGTTGCTTTGGGACAAAATTCATAAGCTGCAGAAAGGTCAGATTTACAAACAGGTACGCTTTCAGTAAACTCTTTAATGTCAAATTTAATACCCGTTTCCTAGAATCCCAAGCTTCTTTAGCTATCATAAAGGCTTTTAAAAAGTAGGTCTGTTTTTTAAGAGAATTATTTTAATGATTGAAGTGGTACAAATTTATTGTTGGTATTTTATGTCTGCAGTTTACTTGCCTCTTGAAGTGATAGAATTACTGAAGTTGCCTGTAAAGTAATATATATAATTCATAATATATGAACTCAGGACAAGATTTTTGATATGAAAATATTTTTAGGGGTGCACTAATTTTTTTTTTTTTTCATGCCTGTGAGGTTGCAAGTTGCATGCTGCCACAATATATGTGTCATTCTTTCCACAGGGTAACTTGTATGAATTCTTGAAGCTTACTGGCTGGAGGGGCTCTAAAGTTCTCTACTTTGGCGATCACATTTACAGTGACTTGGCAGTAAGTATAACTTTCACAAAATAGGATAAAAAACAAGGCTTTTTGCTAGTCTTCCTCTGCAGTCATTCAATATAACGCACTTTCATTTGAGATTTCTAAATACAACAGAATTTGAGTTGGTAGTTAAGCCATATTGCCTTTCTTGTAGTGAAAGAAATTGGTACCATGATTTCCACCTGACTTGTAGCATTTAACTTGTTTACAAACTGCCCTCAGGAATGCATGAGTTTGTATTCCCGATCCAGATACTGATTGTGTCAGATGTAACAGAGAGTAAACACAGATATCCAAATGTACAGGATGTGGTTGATTTGGATGACATTTACTACCAAGTGTAATAAGAGCTGAATGAACTTCTGTTTTGAATGGCAGGAGGCAATCTTCCTGTCACTAATGGTAAACTTTCTTTCTTCCTGAGGTATTGCTATGGTTTATAGCTCTACTATCCAAGCATTTTCTTACTACCCTAGGAACAAACGTACTGTTAACTGTTACTTTAGACTAAGTGACCAGCACTTAACTCTTTTGTAATTGATTGCGTACGAATATCTGGATATGAGTTGCCATTGCCAAACTGTGGTAACGCATTTCAGCAGCAGCAGATGTTAACATTTTTGTCCCAATCTGCTTTTAAAAAGAAAAGTAAGTTTGGGTGCTGCAGAAGGCTGAGGCCAAAGGAAGGAGGATACAGCTCTCTTTCTCTGGCACAATGGAGGAAAGAGCACAGGCAGCAGCTGCTTTGTCCTGTACTTGTCAGGAGGAGCTTGAATAGCTGGGTGTCCCAATAGGACCCTTCTGTCAGCTGAGTGTATGGGCAAATGCCACAAACCCAACACACCGTTTCTGCCAGATGCTTCTGACAGCAGCAGAGGTCTCATCTACAAGAGGGATATCCTACTGTTTGTTTTAAACCTAATGAATCGGTGCTTATTTGCAAAGTACTTAGGTGTTCTTTATCTCTCTCTCCCTTGTGGGATTTGAAGCTTACTCTGAAACTAAATTCTATTACCTGTTGGCGCGGTTAAGTCCCACTGTTTAATATTTCTGCTTATACATAAGAAGCAATTAAATGAGTGCCCCTTTGGGATAAATAATGGTCAAATTCCTCAGTTCTTTTAAGTAGTTCTTTTTAAGACTAATACTTGTATTTTGTAATTCTTGGTAAATAGGATTTGACCCTGAAGCACGGCTGGCGCACTGGTGCAATTATTCCAGAGTTACGATCAGAGATTAAAATCATGAACACAGAGAAGTACATTCAAACCATGACCTGGCTGCAAACCTTGACAGGATTACTGGAACACATGCAGGTTTGTTCTCTGTGTGTGTAATCGGCTCTGTATAGCAGAAGGGATTCAGCCAAGTTTCTAAATGCTCGACGTTGACGTTGCAAATGCTTTCTGTCTCATTAAAGTTCATCAGTTTGACTGTCGATAAATAAATGCAATTATTTGTGTGGGTAGTTAATAAAGAGTTTTCTTAAAATCTTGTCCCTTTCTTCCACTGATTCCTGCTTTTGGTTGTTTAAAATGCATATGGGTAACTTCTGTGTACTGATTTCTGAACCATCCTCTTGCCCTGTTAGCTGATAAGGATTTATTAATGGAAAAGCTCATTTAAGAGGGCATCCTTAGTTACCTGTCATCCATATGTTACATTCCAGGTTCACCGTGATCCTGATTCACAAATGATTTTAGAAGAGTGGAAGAAGGAAAGAAAGGAAATGAGGTAAGACATGGGAGATGAGGAAATTGCAGTATGCTTCGTGGTAGCCAATTGTTCTCTGTGATGTCTTCCACAGAAGAATTTCTTCACAATTTCTCTCCATCCCTGATTTATATTCCCTGGTAGTTACGGACCTTCTAAAATTGTCTGTGTAAAGCAATGTTCTACCTGTCTCTGGTGCAGCTCTTCTCCCCTCTGACCTTTTGTGCATATGAACCCCTTTTCCCTGTTCCCCTTCTTTGTAAAAGATGTTAGTTTTCTGCATGAAAGGGTGACATCATATCAAGTACTTGTCCTTCTCGTCTTGGTTCTCTTGTCGCTCTGTCTTCAGCTGTTGCTATTGATTACACTGCTCTACTTGTGCATGATTTAAAAATGTGTTTCTGTATCAAGACTTAGGTCACTTCTTCAGTTTTTGTAGATTACTTCTTCAGATTACATACAATACATTTTAGAATACACAAAAACTGGGCTCTGTGCTAGACTACATTTAGCAGTGGACTCATCACAGAGATAGGTAGTAGGGCTAAAACTCCTAAAAATCTGCTATCATGAAGGAGAAACCCCTAAATGCAGGGTGTGTGAAGTGCACAGTTGGCAAGGCCAGCAGCTGTTCCACCAGCAGCCCTCCCCAGAAATGTGGAAGTAAATGAAATGGGAATGTTACTTGGCGGTGACTAATAACAGAAGTTAATTCCAAGATGTGTTTAAGCCAAATCTTTGCATTTTTTTAAAAAAAGTCTTTTATCTTTGGAAGAAGTGGATGTCATTAGGATTTAGATGAAGGCAAAAGTCATCTTTCATAGCCTCTAGAAAGGAAAGCTTGAGTTCTCATGTTTCTGAAGTCAGAAGCAACTTACCACTGGTTTTGGTGGAGAAGTGTGAAGCTCTTCTGTTTACTACCATGATTGCTAGATCTGGGGTGCATATGTGCAAGAGATGCAAAAATTTCTTATGTGGTGCATTTATATGGTTTGAAGTGCAATGGCAAAAGAATAATGCATAGGAGAGGTTATAGGAACTGCTTGTTTCGGGTTATGGCTGTTAGCTGGTAGAGATGTGTGCAGCTATGTTCACTTCATTGTCTTTGTTTTCTTTTTTTGGGGGGCAGGGAGATGAACAGGAATTTCTTCAACGCACAGTTTGGAAGCTTATTCAGAACTGATGAGAATCCAACTTATTTCCTAAGACGTCTCTCTAGATTTGCGGATATCTACATGGCATCATTGAGTTGCCTCTTGAACTATGAGCCTGATTACACGTTCTATCCAAGACGGACTCCTTTGCAGCATGAACTTCCTGGCTGGTCAGACCAGCTGTGCACTGGTACATTCAGAATACCTTTCCTACAAGAGACAGTTCAGATCAAATAAACACTTGGCGCCTTCTCTCTAAAATGGGCAAATATATCTTTTTTTGGTTTTTTTGAATGTACATCTTGTTTATTTAAGTCACTTAAATCTGTTATCTTGATTTAGATGTAATTCATACTTGTTTTCGTAAGTGTTGTACCTATTTTCTCCTCTCCTGCTTGGAGATGTTTAAACTCTTCTTACACATAGAAGAGATGGACTGCCAAAATAGTAGTGGACTAAGAGGGAGGGGAAGGACTGGTGGTGTTCTGGGGTGGTTGGTTTTATTTGTTCATTGGAAACTTGGATCTGCAGCCTTGTGATTTACAAAGAAATACCTATAACTCTCTGTTCTGGCCCCGATCAGAACTCCAGCTGGAGCCTGTAATGGATCTTGGCACCGAAAAGCTTAAATCCAGTATTAGTAATTCAGTGATACGCAGTAGCCAGTTTACCTTGAGACTGAGCGAGGGATGGTGTATGCATTTTAACTTTCCTTGCTGCCATAGCTAGAGCCTTACCTGCTGCAGCGTTGGTGCGGCTGTGCTGCATTGCAGTGATTACAGTACTGACAGGCTCAGGCTGAGGGGCTTTTTCTTCTGTCTGTGCAGTTTCCCTTCTTGTACTGTCTGTGCTTGGCTGTAAGTGGATCTGAGCCTAAAACCGAAAGCGGCAGTAACTTGGGCTGCTTCAGCTTCCTTTTGTTAACTTTTAGGCACCTTTCTTTTTAAGTTTCAAAACCCTTTAAATATCCACTCTCTGATGATAAAGCCATTTCGAGAGGTCTTGCATTTTGCATTTCAAAGTGGAGACAGATCTCTGTCAGGCTTTAGATTGATCCTAAATGCTGCTTTTAAAAATTTTAAGTGTCTTACAGTGGTTTGCGATGTGGTTTTGCTGTTCCCTGGGAGAGAATGTATTTCATATGGCCTTTAGTAATGGACTTTTAGAGTCAAAAGTAAACACGCACAATGGGCAAATGAGTTGAAAGAAAAATCAAGAAATGAGAAAACGAAACCCAGAGTTTTCTGATGACATTTTTTTTTAGCTCACGCCCTCAAAGCTGAATTGGGGGTGGTGGTCAGTTTGCATCAAGCAAAATCATTTTGGTGGTGCGGATTAGAAGTTTTATTGCATTACTGAAATTGCAGGTAATGCACAAACACAAACTCTGGGTAGCATATATGTTCCAAAGATTTGAGCTGAAAAATGTCAATTTTGCACAAGGAAAACATCTATTGATGTGTTTCCTCAAACAGGCACTTTATAGAACTGCTATATAGTTGTTTTTAAATAAGGAAGTTTTCCTCTCTCTATATCCAAAGGAAATTTTTTTAACTGGTGCTTCCCACCCCAACCATTTTAGAAGGCATAATACAATTAATGTTTTTCAAATTTTAGTTATTAAAGACTCTGTTTTTAAAAACATAAAATTACGAAAATGTATAGCATTTGATGTTCTTCACTTCATTTTGGGATATCACTTGCTTCCTGCCACGATTGTCAGGTAAACAAACTTTTGGTGACCAAAAGTTTTCTTATTTGTTTTTTTTTTTTTTAACCTGTATGTATTACGTGCAAGTACCTATATTGAATATCATATGCAGTATCTTTCATATTTTTAAAAGCATGTTTGCAAAGTAAAGAATGTATTGTAATTTAGCCCGCACAATTTCATAAGCAGTTTTCCTGTATGCTTGAAATCAGTCTGAAGTCCTTATAGGTGGTAATAGATTTTATGTTCATGGTTTTCTTGTATTCCTGTTTCAAACTTGATGTGCAACACTCCTGAAGAGTGTATGTGTATTTAAGCAGATGAATGTACTTAAAATGAGTAAGTTCATCTGACAGTCCTGCTGTTTTGCTGGAAGAAAAAGATAAAAAGTTTTGCAGGAAGTTAATTTGGCTTTATCAGGAGACTTGGTGGTGGTGTGTGTGTGTGAGAAATATTTAGCATAACTTGATAATGAAATGTGGGGATGGAAATAGCCCAAATTTGCCTTCAGTTCTCTATCCTAAGGCTCAGCTAGAACCGAAGGGGGTGTTACGTGTGTGTAGCACCTCTCATTCTCCAGAGATTTCCATGCACTGTTTAAAAGACCCCAAACCACTGCACATTCTCCATCTTACTACCAGCAAATAATAGTATTGTGTTACTCAGTTCTGCATTACTGAATTTGATAATGTTTTGTTGGTTATAGCTCTGTGATGTTTCTTCTTAAAGCTGGATAGGAGTCAGTTTGTTTGCCTAATTTTCCTGTGTTAAGCAGGAACAGTTTAATTGGGTTGGACGATGTTATCCACATAATGCACATTTTGTTTCAAGATGATTTCCACCACCCCCGTCCTTTCTCTTTACTTACAAGTAAAACTTCTGTACAAAGCTATGTTACAAAAGCCAGCTGAAGTAAAATCTTGTTTATATTGCATGACTTCTTGAAATAAACAACACTGCATGAAAAAAAAAAAAATCATTGTGGGAGGGTTATGTTCTTTTGAAACAACCCAACTATAGATAATATGAACTTAAGTGAGAATTTTAAAGTGTATTATTTATTTTTCAGTGCTAGAATGCTCTTCATTAACTTTTAAAAATGTCTTGCATTTTTGTAATGATTTCAGAGAACTTGAGTTGTACACCTCGGTGCTCTCTGCATTACTTATTTTAACCTTGTTATGTTACTGATTTCAAAGAGATTTTTGGGCATGTTTAAAGGGGAGTGTCTCTTTGTGTTCATTTTGAGAGTATAGTTCATTTGAACACCAAAGAAAGAAGAAATTTTCTTTCTCTTCTACCAAACACCGAAGAGAATAGCCTGTCAGTAAAAAGAGTTTAATGAACTGTGGAAACTTTTTTTGTGATAAAAATATTTAATGATTATTACAAAAATAAATGCTTGGACTTTATCTTCTAGTTCCTATGAGCCTTAATATTTTGGGTGTCTGGGGGGGGGGAAAGGAAAGAACGTGAATTGTAATAATTGCAAAACTCCCTGGGGAAAACTCCCCTAAATATATGTGTGCATGCATGTTCTAAATCTTTTAGTATCTTCTAGGTAAAAACAAGCAGGCATGCCTAAGGGGGCAAGGGAAGGAGCTAGGGACATGACTTTTCATCCAGACATATTTTTATGTTAGATTGCCTTGGTTGTGGTTGATAGCTGCATGAACGACCCCGGATTTGCCTGCATACCTTGTTGTGATGGGAGACATCCTGGGGTTGCTCTCAGAGGTAACTAATGCTTTCCTGCAGTGACACCATCCCTCCTGCCCCCCCATGCATGGTAGACACCAAGAAGCATATCACAGGGGAACACTACTGCTGCCAGCAAGAGGTTCGTTCTTTTCTCGCTGTTCTGGGGTTTCTGTAGTGTTCTCACAATTTGCTATGATATTAATGTTTTGAGGGAAGGAAACGACAGTGAATCAAACTCACTTCTAATAATATGTTGGAAATTGCAGCTGCTATTGCTGTGTATCAGTTGAAAGGCAACCTTAATGTCCTTGGTAAAAAAATATGGTATGTGAACAAAAAGGTAGCTTCTAAAACAAAACAAAACAAAAAAATGGAATAATCTCCCCACAGAAGCAGTGGATTCCCCATCGTTGGATGTCTCTAAGACTCAGCTGGAGAGGGTGCTGGGCCATCTTGTCTAGACTGTGTTTTTGCCAAGAAAGGCTAGACCAGATGATCCTTGGGGTCCTTTCCTACCTGGTATTCTATGAAAACCTAAAAACTGAATGTGGACATGACACGGCAAGGGTATGTTCATCTTCGTTGTCCACTTTTCACAAAAATAGCTTAAGTAAAAATTGATTACTATTTGAATGCTCTCATATCACCTGTATTTCTTGCTAAAGCTGCTGCAATTACTGTTTCCCTTTATATGGTGAAGTGAGATGTAAACAAAACAGTCAAGTTCGGAGAAAGAAAAGCTGGAGGAGGCAAGCGGGGCACAGAATGGTTGCATTTCGTGCTGCTGAAATTCTTACAAGAACGTATACTAGCAAAAATCCCTTTAGTTTAAAAATATAGGTTTAACACGTGTTGTGTTTCATGCTTGCCAGTTGTAATTGTAACTCAGCCAAAATGAAAGCGTAGAGCTGGAGTATTAGCACATTTAGGATATTTGCCAAGTTAGCAGCCCTGTGTGTTTGAGGCCATTTTAAAGTCTGTGAAGAAGAATAAAAGCAGTTAAATAGCAGGCTAGTGAAATTCTGCTTTTCAGAGAGGTGCCTGTTTTTTCTGGGTAGGTTAGTTGAGACTCAATTTTGCATTTGGCATTTATAGTTGGTATTGCTCAGATACAGCCAACACTTCTGAGGTTGGTAACTCCCTGAACTCTGTAGGCTGCATCTTAAACAAAGCTGTGCTCTTTTGGCTTTTAATTTGTAATGAGATTTTATTCCTTGAAATGTGTAGGTGCTGTTTTGTCACAGTGAATAGAAATGTGTTTTATAATTTACTAATGCCAAATTCAATCTTTAATTCTGATCATGAGGACCGCTTATCACAAGCTGCTGGTCATCCGAATCCTGTAAAATAGAAGAAAAAGAAAATCAGACTTGAACATTGAATTAAGAAATGAAAGTCACTTTTTGGCAAATTTGTCTGTCTATACGGATGGCAGAGTTTGCACTAGACATTTTTGCACCAAACGAGTCTTTTTATTGGATGCAAAAAGATTTATTTTGATTTTTAGACTCTGCATCAACATGAGGGTCTTGCTAAATTAGACCATTGAAGCTATTTAGATACCCTGGCTTTACTCAATCTTTCTGTCCCTTGATTCCCAGCCCCCTTCCCGTTGCGTTGCAGATTCTTTGGAGTGCTGGCATGGCACTCTGCTATGTTTGCAGCAAGGAGGGGGGAAGACAAAATTGGAAGGCTTTTTAAGTTTGGATAGACGTGTCACTAGCATCCAGGAGCATTTCAAGTCCAATTTAATTCAGTTGTCTTTGAAGGCAGACTTGAGATACAGCTGTAGACCACAGCCTCGACTTTAGCAGCGAGGGTCCCC